TGGTTTGTAGTCATGTCGGTACAAGTACAACCTGTCTTGTCTTGTCTGCTGACGTTATTCTTTTGGTGGTGTACAGAAACGTTGGGAGGCCTCCACTCACGTTCCGTATACTTTTCAGATTCTTCGTACTTGGCCTTTTAGGGTAATTATAAGTAATGCTATTGATATCAATCCATGGTGAAAATTTATATATAAATTTTAAAAGATTTTATTTATAATAATAAAGTTTATGTACATGGGTTGTTTTGTAGGCTTTGTCTTTTTCAAGTTCTTGTGTATGTTGGAATTGGCTACAGCTCTCCAACCATGGCAAGCGCCATTGCTAATTTGACTCCCGGGAACACATTCTTGATTGCAGTAGCTTTCGGGTAACATGAATGTTTTTTTTTTTTTTTTCAATTTCTTTTTAGTTTTATGAATTCGTAAAATATGACTACAAAACTAAAAACTAGTTCTAAAAAAATAGTGACCATGTTTTTTTGTTTCTTTTTTGTTCAACTTTCAATCCTTTTGACCTATTTCTTTTTGGGTTAAATGCAAAAATAGAAACATACTTTTCTTTATTTGCATTTGCTTCCTACTTTCATATATAACAAAATTATCTTTTCCTATTAAGGCGTTTCAATTTGCAAAATCTATCTGGTAATAGCAATTTATTTTCTTATTACGACAATATACTTTGAAAAAATCTATCCAGTTATGGATTAATTTGTATATAGATGGCATTATTATTTCAAAGGGTTTTATGCAGAAAAGTCCTGTTATTCTGGGAAATTTTTTGGTAAAGTCCTAAATTCTTTTTTAAACATAAAAGTCCCGATTACTTAATATTTTGCACAAATTAACCAAAAAAATCCTTATTTTTATTTTAACAAGAAACGACAGATTATCATGTAAAATTAAATAATCAAGACTTTTTTGTTCCAAAAAAACATTTACGACTTCATCAAAAATTCTCCCAAAATAATGAGACTTTTCTGCATAAGAAAAAAAAATGGAATTGCTAATGCTAGCAAATAATTATAATTCGACCACTTATTATAAAACCAAATTTTGTTTATTACCACATACGTTAGTTTTAATTGTCTTACCTTTGTTCTTTTTTTTTTTTTTTTTTTTTTTTAATTAAAGATTTGAAACTAACATATATCAATTTTAGGATGGAGAAAATAGACATAAAAAGTTCAAGTAGTCGAGCGAAATTATTTGGCACAATAGTAGCAATAACAGGAGCAATGGTGTTCACATTTTATAAAGGCCCAGAAATTTTTAACATGATTTCCTCTTCTGATTATTCACCCAATCATCGGCTTCTTTTCTCACAAGCATCCGATTGGATTTTTGGAGGTTTGATTCTTGTGATTGGTGGACTCGTTGGTTCCATTTGGAATGTTTTACAAGTAAGAATTACATCAAAACCATTGAACTATTTTTATTTTATTTATTCATTTATTTATATGTATTAGGGTTTTGATTTCTTGATTTATATTTTATAAATCCAGTCATCGACATCTAGAGAATACCCTGATCAAGTCACGATTATTTTTTTCTTCTGCCTTTTTGGGACAATTCAATGTGTAGTTTTATCCTTGTTCTTAGTGAAAAATCCAACCGATTGGGTGCTGCCACCTGGCATCGCGATATTTGCTGTTGTTTTTGGGGTAAGGAAATAGCAATGTATTTTCGTTTATTTGTGTATTGTATTTTATATATGCTATTAGTTATTATTGTGCTTATGAATAGTGGTGTTTTTCACTTTTGGACTTTTGCTACAAATGTTTTATATTTTGGCAGATTTAGTCCCTGCAAACAAAGGTTTTATGTTTGACAGATTTAATCCACTTTTGCCACAATTGTTTTACATTTTGGCAGATTTAGTCCCTGCAACAAAGGTTCTCTATTTTGATAGATTTAGTCCCTGCAAATAAAGGTTTTGCATTTTGACAGATTTAGTCCCTGCAAACAAAGGTTTTACATTTTGACAGATTTAGTCCACTTTTGCAACAAATGTTTTACATTTTGGCAGATTTAGTCCCTACAACAATGGTTTTCTATTTTGACAGATTTAGTCTGTGCAAACAAAGGTTTTACATTTTGACAGATTTAGTCTACTTTTGCCACAATTGTTTTACATTTTAGCAGATTTAGTCTCTGCAACAAAGGTTTTCTATTTTGACAGATTTAGTCCCTGCAATCAAAGGTTTTACATTTTGACAGATTTAGTCCACTTTTGCAACAAATGTTTTACATTTTGACAGATTTATTCCCTGCATCAAAGGCTTTAGATTTTGGCAGATTTAGTCCCTGCAATTTTTTTTATTTATAGAAAAGGTCCCTGTAATGTTTTTTTTTTTTTTTTTTTCAAAAACAGTCCATAAGTGTAAGATTTTTGTATTTTGGCAGGTTTAACCCTTGTGTACAAAACTAATTACAAAAACTGTCCCCGTTGGCCTCTACTAAACTGCTTATAATACATAAAAAGTAAACCCGACCCCATTGCATAGCATGACTTTTTTTTTTTTTTTCTAGATACCGTTATAGCATCTATAGTGGCACAGGTTTTATTACTTTAATTAAACTATAATTTGATTTTTAATTTTGTATAAGATAATGAAATTTTTTAATTAATTTGGTTCATTGCAATTCCTTCAAGCCAACCAAACATGATCATGGAATGCAATGACCAATTCCATTCCTTCCAACCAACCGAAACAAAAAATACATCATTATATTAACATGTTATGAGATTTGGGAACTTACTTTGGTGTTTGAAGATTGACTTTTTGACTTTTTTTTTGAAGGGGGTATTTTCCACTGCATTTCGTAGTAGTGCTGTGATTTGGTGCTTGAAGAAAAAAGGTCCAGTTTTTGTTGCAATGTTCAATCCTCTCTCTATAGTAATTGCAAGCACCATGGGTGTCATTTTTCTTGGTGATTCACTTCATTTAGGAAGGTAAACAATTCACACATATATATATATATATATATATATATATATATATATATATATATATATATATATATATATATATATATATTCACAAATATCAAATTTTATAATCCCATATGAGCTTGAAAAGTTAAAATAGCAATGTACTTCCATTTTTTTGTTTACTATAGAATCCTTTTTTTTTTTTTTTTTTTTTAAATTATTTTTTATTTCTTTCTATTCCATTATTATACTTCCATTTTTTTTTGCTTTGAAAAATCCATCCAATTATTAAGCTTTTGAAAACTCTATCCGGTTATATAATGAAAACTAGTTGTGAGACCCATGTATTACATCGGTTTATTTAAAAAAAAATGTTAAATATGAAGGTTTAAATATTTGAGAGCTTTGAATTTATAAGAAAAATGACAAAAAAATATTGAATTTTTAAAATTGAAGTGTTTTGTTTTCTCTTTTAAATTTAAACAAATAATTAGATAAATAAACAAATTAACTAATACGCTTTATTTTAGGAATTTTGAAATTAGAATGTAAGTTCATTAATACCCATTTATTATTATATTTATTGCAATTATTACATTTAAACACTATACGAAATTTAATAAAATAAAAAAAACGTGGAAAAAATTAATATAAAATAACCACAAAAAGACATGTGACAAAATGAATGTGAACGTGACATGTAGCAAAAAGATCTTTATTTTTGTATTTGGTTAATATTTGCTATAAAAGGAAGATCTTTATTTATTTTTTCCATTTAACTTTTTTGAATTTGTATATGCAGTGCAATTGGAGCTGTGATAGTTGCTGGAGGATTTTATACAGTGATGTGGGGCCAGGCTAAACAGAAGAAGACGGAGACGAATATTTTGGATCGTGCAAATGAACCCGGATCATCAAACCCCACTACGACTCCTCTCCTTTCATCTGTAAATGAATCGAAATGTTAATTTGTTGTGAAATTGAGTATCAAATGGAGAAATAATGATTTATATATAGAAAAAAAAAAAAAAAGTAAATAATAGGTGTCAAGTTTAAAAGAGAATTCAAAATCGTGAGTGAATCAAGTAACTCGACACGACTTTTATTTGTAGGGCCCACCATTTTTTTTTAACTGTACAACCACTTTTTATTTGCCGACAAACGTTTGTGAAATAATAGAGTCTATTTGTATCAAACTGGAATGATCAATGATCGTACCCTGTTTCTGTTTCTGTTGAAATATAAAGTCTAGGGACCAAAGTTGCCAATATACGAAAGTCCTAGGGTCAAAGTCTAAACCCAAAAAATGTAGGGACTAAATCTACCAATATACAAAAATCTTGTGGTCGAGAAACCCAAAAATTCTAAACTTGATAAATAATCTTTGAAAGATCAATATCAAGTTGTTCATCACTTGTCAAACTAGTTTCAAGTTTCATACAACTTTTCTTTAATAATAAAATGAGTTTATTTATTATAATTGTACTTAATTGTTTAATAATATTCATATGTTAAAGAGGTAATATGTTTCTAATTTGTCTAAAGCTATCTGGGATAAATATGTTGTTTCTTGATATATTGACCACTACATTAATATATGATGATCTTACAAAGAAGTTAGGAGTGTGCTTTATATGATTCTTTAAGTGAACTTCTGATTTCTGTGAGAGATGCAATTTTTAGGAATCTTCTCAAAACTTCCGGCCTTCAAGTCAGAAAATTTATTTTCTGTCCCAGAAAAACCGATCATGTAACTTGTCTTACGTCACAATTTAACATTGAGATGAATCACGTTTTCCTATTTTTTTAATGTTGAATGAATGTTACTTTTGCACATGGGTTTTCTTTTACTTAATAGCTGTCCTTGCGCTAGGTGAGTGGATGCTTACATACATTTGAAAAAAAAAATCATTATACCATTGTTTATTATGTAAAATACAAGACATCATCACAATAATGCTTCCGAGTTTGTCACTAACTGAAATTCCTTAATATTTTATCAAAATTTGAATCTCGTGAAAAGGATATGCACTATTTTAACAAATCACATAATTTGAAATCCCCTATAATGCATACTTCTATCAAAGATATTGGGAACGATATTCAAAAAGTAAAAAAAAAATATGGGAGTGACAAGAAGCGAAATGTTGATATGGACAAACGAGGTGCTGCCCTATGTTATTATGTTGATGGTAGAATTCTTGGATATGAGCATTCTCACAATAGTGAAATCTGCAATGAATGGTGGTATGAACAAATTTGTCTATATTGTTTACCATGATGCTCTTGGAACATTGATTCTTCTTCCATTCTTCATCATCCACATCTTCAGGTTTGTAGTCCTCCTTCTACGGTTATTTGGGACCCGTTTATTGTGTAGGACTAGACCGAAAGGGACTACACTGGATGATGATGAAGAGGGCATTTTTGTCTTTTTCAAAGACGAGAGATCAAGAAAGGATCTTTTTCGTTGATGTGGACAAATCAATTTCAGGTCCCGACCAATGCACGCAAATCACAGTGTAACATGTATGTTCTGTTTTGTTATGTTCTGTTCAGTGCAAATCATAGTGTAACATGTATGTTTTGTGTTGTTCTGTTTTGTTCTGTTCTGCTAACTGAAGTAAACACCAATTAGAATTCTTCTTCACTTGTACAGAAACACTGGGCGTCCTCGGCTCACGTTCCATATTCTTTTTAGATTCTTCATTCTTGGTCTTTTAGGGTAAACAATGCAACCCATGGTGACATTTTGTATTTTGAAAAGATTTTATATACAATAAATTTTATGTACATGTTTTGTTTGTAGGATTTGTCTTTTTCAGTTTCTTGTGTATATTGGAATTAGCTATAGCTCTCCAACCATGGCAAGTGCTATTTCTAACTTGACTCCAGCAAACACATTCTTGCTTGCAATTGCTTTCAGGTAATGCCAAGGACAAGGAATGGTTTCGTTTTGTAAGGGGAAAAATCGGGTAAAGGGGTCATTAATTTGTTATATACTTTTATATAAAGGGGAAAAATCGGGTAAAGGGGTCATTAATTTGTTATGTACTTTTATATAAACCTAATGAGAAACCAAGAGTTATGATTACAACACTTAATGATCTAATATTCCAATTTTTCTTGAATAAAGTTGACATTCTATCCAAAAAAACCCAACGAACTTAACATTTTATCTAAAAAGCTCAACTAAGTTATACTTTCCTGAAAGTCAACTAAGAGAAATAGATGACGTGACTTATTACCGTATCGGGAAAACGACTTATTAGACCAACAAAGTTTCCAAAACGTTTAAAAAAATCCAATCATGTTTTGACTGTTCAAAAAAACCCCAATGAACTTATACAAAACAAAATTGGGATTTTTTGAACGGTTTGGAACTTTGTTGGACTTTTTAGATAAAAAGTTAAGTTTGTTGGAGTTTTTTGAACAGATAAAACATGATTGAGATTTTTTGAATGGTTTAGAAACTTTGTTAGGCTTTTAAATCATTTTCCCTAAAGTTGAGTATAGTTTAGTTTCAACAAATTTTAACCTTTTAACCCATTTCTAGTTTGGCTATCTAATTTACATTTGTTTTAGGATGGAGAAAATAGACACAAGGAATTCAAGCAGTTTAGCGAAATTATTTGGAACCATAGTAGCAATATCGGGAGCAATGGTGTTCACATTATATAAAGGTCCTGAAATTTTTCACACAAACTCTTCGTCTAATTCACATAATCATCTTCTTTTGTCACAAGCATCGGATTGGGTTTTTGGAGGTCTGATTCTTGTTATGGCGGGAATCGTTTCTTCAATATGGAAGGTTTTACAAGTACGTACTCGCCATGAATAATACATGAAACCATGCAACTTTTTTTACGTATTAATTTCTTGATTTATATCTCTTTTATATATTCAGTCAGCTACATCTAGAGAGTACCCGGATCAAGTAACGGTTGTGTTTTTCTACTGCCTATTTGGGACAATTCAATGTATAGTTCTATCTTTATTCCTAGTTGAAAATCCAAGCGATTGGGTGATGCAACCAGGAATCACAATGGTTGCTGTTGTTTTGGGGGTAAGTCAATTAATTTGAATAACAATGTCGATACTTTTGATTCATCCTATGTTGGTCATTATTAATATCTAGTCAGCGTACTTTCAAAAGGTTAAGATCATCTAGTAACATGTTTCCTAGTTGCTAAGTTTAGGTGGCATATTAAAGACATAGTAAGTGTTTTATCCAGAAAAATCTTATTATTTTCGATTTTTTTTTATAAAGCCATAATTTTTACTTTTGAATAGAAAAGACCAATTATTTATTATTTTGTCCGAATTAATGATTTTTTTTTATAATTTTAACAAGAAATGACATATTATCATGTAAAATTAAATAATGAATAGTTTTCTGTTAAAAATATATATATTTAGGACTATATCAATTTTTTTTTTCTAAACTAATAAATTTTTTCTGTGTAATGGCTGATTAGTAATAAATGGAAAGAAACCAAAATGATGATCGATGTAGCCTGTTAACTAAATTTAGTTTTAGGTAGATTTGAGTGTGATGGATTGAGAAAAGGAATAGAATGGTTTATAGTAATACAAAAAAATGTTTGTTTTTCTCTTTGGAATGAAATGGAGTTAATGGGACCATATTGGGTTATAACCCATGGATTTATGCAAAAACTTAATGATATAATTTCAAAGAAAAGAAATACAATTTATTATTTATATTATAATTTTTCAGTAGTGAAAAGATATTAATTTTATTATAACTTATTTGAGCTTTTATTATGTATAATTTTCTATTTTTATAAATAAACGTTTGCTAATTATATTTAAAATTATATATACAATATAGTTGCAAATTAATTTGCAATCATAATATTACATTTAAATATATTATAAAAGATTCATATCCATATTTCATTTCTACAAGTCCACCAAACATGATGATGCATGCATGTCATGTAATGGTTCATTTAATTGCCTTGCTTAGTCAATCACCTCATCTATTCCATTTTTTTGTCGTTCAATTCCATCCAATGAATGACATGGATGGAATACCCGAAAACAACCATACATGTATGTAGCATGAAAGGAAAACAAGAATGTATATGACTAATATACGTGCATATTATTAAATGGTGAAAGGGACCATAAGGGATTAGGTATCAATGGAAAAAAAAAAAAAAAATAGAACAATATTGAAAAATCAAAAGCGCATTGCTATTTTATCCATTTATTCGATTTGGGCAACATAATTAGGTGACAGAAGATTTTTATATGTTTATTTATTTATTTTTTGTATTTGAAGGCTGTAATTTCCACTGCATTTCGTAGTAGTGCATTGATTTGGTGCCTACAGAAGAAAGGTCCAGTTTTTGTGGCAATGTTCTCACCCCTTTCCATAGTAATTGCAACAATAATGGGTGTCACGTTTCTTGGTGATTCTCTTTATTTAGGAAGGTAAACTATTAACATTTTTTTCGTAATCTCAATATTTAAATCCGATTTGAGCTTGTTGGTCATTGTTAAATAATAACCCATGCATGCATGGCTTGTTCTTGAAGTTTGAATTTTGAAGTGGGCTAAATGTAACGCAATAAAACCATGTTTTCGTTTATTTGTTTATTCTATCATCATATTTTTTTTAATTTCTTTCTATTATATCATTGCTATGTTTTTATAAAGACAATGTTATGTTGATAGGAAGAAATGAAAATAGGTTGATATATTAAACAAATAGACGGAAGTACCTTGCAATTTCTCACATTTAACACTCTTGAATTTGTATCTGCACACTTTTGTAGTGCCATTGGAGCCATGATAATTGCTGGAGGATTTTATACGGTGATGTGGGGCCAGGCCAAACAAAAGAAGATAGAGACGGATTTGGAGGGTGCAGATGAACTTGGATCACCAAACCCTACGACTCCTCTCCTTTCATCCGGAGGTGATCGAAATGTTAGTTTGTGATTATACCAAATGTATGAAAACCTTATTAGGTGTTGTTTTTCTTATTTATTGGATTTAATAAAGACCGGAATATATCCGCTTAAATATAACCTTTTTACTTAAATAGATGTGTGCCCAGATAAAGTGTCCGTGATCATTAGTTTTTTAATAGTTTGGTAAATAATTATTAGATTTTATTAATACTAGGGTTTTATGTAGACAAGTTCCATTATTTTGGGAAAACTTTTAATATAATCCTAAAAGTTTTTTTAACAGAAAAATCTCGATTATTTTACATTTTGTTCGAATTAACGAAAAAAAATCATTTTTATATTTTAACAGGAAATGACAAATTATGTGATTTTTCCAAATAGGATTTTATCAAAAATTTTGCTAAAATAATGAGACTTTTCTACATAAAACCCTTAGTTATTATGTAATAAAATATAACCATTTTTAAATAAAATATTTATGTTTATACCTTATGTTTATATTGTATGTTTATACCATTGATGTAAATTAATTGATATGGATGTTTAGTTTAAGAAACGTAAATTAATTTATATATATGGACTTAATGTTCTAAAATTTTTAGTTTGCTCCAAATTGAATTTCTTAATTAATTTTCTTAATTCAAGTCTTCAAACTTTTGGTAAGTATTAATGAATTATTTATGCATATTTGATTTGTACGACAATCTTTATAACTTATACCTCTTAAAAATTCAAGATATAACTAATATGCTTTATAATATAGTATTATGATTTTTATTTTGCTCCAAATTGAGTTTCTTAATTACTTTCTTTAATTCAAGTATTCAAACTTTTGGTAAGTATTAATGAATTATTTATGAATAATTGATTTGTACAAAAAACATTGTAACTTATACATCTTAAAATTCAAGATATGACTAATATTTTTTAAAATATAGTATATTATAGTATAATATATTAGGTTTGGCAATCAGGTTGGGTTTGGGTTGACGGTTTATAGGTTAGAAAACAAAAACTCAACCCAACCCATATAATATATGGGTTGGTGGGTTGGAAACCTCAACCCAACCCAATCCAACCCAACCCATATAACTCATTTAAGTATATGGGTTTGCAGGTTCATAGATTAATGGATTGAACCCAACCTACATAACCTTTTTAACATATAAGTAACATTAGTTTGTCTAATGTTTTCCCTTGACGTGGTGTCGAGTCGAATGTTGTTGCATTTTTTGAAGCCTGCACATACTTATCATAAAGTTCATAAATGGAACTCTCGGTAGCCTCAAATTGTGATGAACCTTCTCCATAAACTTTTTTATAGCAAAAGTCAATAAGTGCCAACTTATATCTAGGATCAAACACCACATCTATATCTAATAAAAGACTATATATATATATATATATATATATATATATATATATATATATATATATATATATATATATATATATATATATATGTTGACGGGTTGATCCGCGAACCCAAATAGATAACCCAACCCAACTTATGAAATAAATGGGTTGACGGATTAAAAATCTCAATCCAAACCTGTTTATTTTCGGGTTGGATCAGTGCTGGGTTACAGATTGTGTTGAGAGTTGCCACCCCTATAAGATATAAAATTATCCACTAAGTTTTATAATTTTTTTACTTAATATAAAAATTGCGGGAGAATGCTTTTCCCTATTTAGGTATTAATTTTTAAAATTTTCTCTTTGTTCATTTTCTTTTATATTTATTCAAATATGTTGTCCAATTTCCAAATATTTACACTTTAAGCATATTTTTTATTTGTATGATAATAAGTATTTAGGGATCTATATCATTATATATTGTTTAGTCAAGCTATACGCTTGTACCAAGATTTTAAACATTTTTATTATTTATTAGGTAACAAATTTGTGTGTAAGACCTTGACCTTAGATAGCTAAACATGTGTAATTGTTTTATGTAATTAATGTTTCTTTATAGTGATTTTAGTGTCACTTGGTTGCAAATGGATATTCAAAAAGAAAATGAATGTAAATAGGACTATTGACAAGTTCAAAACCCGGTTGGTCATTCAAGGTTTTAGGCAAAAACCCGGTATTGATTATTTTGACACGTATGCTTCGGTTGCGTGTATTTCTACTATTAGATTGTTGATCGCCTTAGAAAGTATCCAAAATATGATTATCTATAAAATGGATGTTAAAACAATATTTTTAAATGGTGAACTAGGTGAAGAAGTTTACAAGAAACAACCAGAATGTTTCTTTATGCCCAGTAAAGAGCATATTATATGTAACCTGGTAAAATCTTTTTATGGGTTGAAACAAATACCCAAACAATGAGATCAAATGTTTGATGATGTTATTTTGTCATATGATTTCAAGTTAAACCAATGTGACAAATGTGATTATAGTAGATTTAATGTGTAGGCGTGATCATTTGCTTATATGTAGATGACATGTTGATTTTGGTACTAACCAAGATCAAATAGATGAAACAAAGCAATTGTTGTCATCTAAATTCTCCATGAAAGATTTGGGAGAGGCTGATGTAATTATTGGTATAAGAATTAAGAGGGTAAACAAGGGATTCGTAATGACTCAAAGTCATTGTGTTGAGAAAATTCTCAAGCGATTCAATTTTAGTGATTGTACTCATATGAGCACTCCTATGGATTCAAGTGTGAAATTAATGTCTAAAATTGACATTCCTATATCTCAATTGGAATAATCTAAGTCTATTGGTATCTTGATGTATGCAATGACAAGTACCAAGCCTGATATTGCTTATGCAGTAGGAAAGTTGAGCAGGAACACTAGTAATCCTAGTGCACAACATTGGCAAGTGATCAATAGAGTGTTTAAGTATCTTAAGGGAACCATGGATTTTGGATTGAGTTACTTGGGAAGTCCTTCGGTCTTAGAAGGTCATTCAGATGCAAGTTGGATAACAAAAATAGAGGACCATTCCTCAACAACTTGAACAACCAAACATCAGGTATTTCCTTTTTGACCCAAAATCTAAAATATGTTGCAAATTTGTGCTTACACCAAGCATACTTGGGGCATGACCTTGGCTACCTTATTTAAAATGGGTCTCGTGTTCAGCTGAGTACGTTGGGCGTATGTGACATCCCCAAAATCTCGGCCAGAAAATATCGATTTTCATTTATGCTTTTAAAATAATTTCAGAGTAAATCCTTTTGATTTGAAAGAGTTGCGGAATTTGTTCCCAAAAACAAAACGTGATAAAATAATATTTACCAAAGCATTTCATAAAAGAAATGTATTTTCATTATATATTCAAAACTCGGGATGTCATGTTCCGATACAGACCATAAAGCATAAACGATAACATTACAAGTCAAATATATACATATACAGACTTGTAAACAAAACAACTTGATGATTCATCCATCTTATGCCCTTGCGCCATTTCCTGTGATACAAATAAAACTGAGTGGGTCAGGCTTGGGAGCCTGGTGAACATATAGGGTTTTCAACCCACAATAAATAATTATATTTAATTCCACCAATCAACAATAACCCAATTACCCATTCCCGTTATTCTCACTTTATGTCCCTAAAACAACTAACACAAGGGAACTAATCTTAGAATATTTCATCGGGGCGACAACACATGCATTCGGGGGTTTTCCGACAATATATGTCAAATAAGGCAACCATGAGGGGGATGGAGTACAGCGAATGAACACCCAAGTTCATTAACACCTACACGTGGCGAACCTGCTAGCGTTCCACAGGACTGTCTAGAAAAGTCTGTGGTCGTCATCTAAACTCCGCTAGATGACTGAATCAAAAACAACATCGAGGCCTCTCATCTGTTTATCACACGTCAACTATCTACCCATGTTCTACCCGACATATTAGTAGATAAAAATATATATTTTTATACATAGTTTAAAACCTGCATAGCATTCTCATTCAATACATATTCCAAAACAACATATGAGACACATACACATAACACGTATTTCATAGAGAATAAATCATATCTATGAGATAGAAGAAAGTGAATATACATTCACGCATATAACAACAAAATATACACATAACACGTATTTTATATTAAATACTTGATAATTATGCGTTAAAAGAAAGTAACCACACATTCACTTGATCAGAAGATGATCGGACAGCACTATGACTTGCAGAAGTAGTATTCTTCAGCCGATCTGGAAGATCTCTACAAAAATCGAACTTCTCGCGGGCAGAGCTTCGGCTCGGGAACCACACTTCTCGGGATCTTCGGGATCTCGGGACTTGCTTCGGGGCTTGGGAATGATACCGGGGCTTCGGGGTACTTCTGGCACGCAAAACGATGCAAAACGGGAGAGAGAAGAGAGAAAAATAGCAAAGGAATTGGCTGCCTTCGGATCTTATTTATAGGAGGCTGGAGCCTCGGAGTACGTGGGGCGTACTGCCTCCGAAATCGTCATTGCTTACGTATTCGAAGAACTCGAGTGCGAATATCGACATACCTCGGTGTACACGGGGCGTAGGCTAGTACGCGGGGCATACTTCGGATGAGTCCGATGACTCGTCTTCGGATAATACCGGGATTTAATAATTAAATTTAATTATTAATTATTTAATAAACTTCGAAAATTCATATCTTCTTCATACAAACTCCGTTTTTGACGTTCTTTATATCCACTCGTAGGTGAGACTACGCTCTACAACTTTTGTTAAGACTCCGTCGGCTAATTTTGACTTCATGTTTATTATTTATTTTTAATAGGTCGGGACAGAAAATTTCGTTATAAATTCATAACTTCTTCGTTTGACGTCCGTTCTCGCCTAAATTTTTATCGCTTCGATACCAACAACGAGATCTTTGATTCTCGTTTAGATTGCTTCGGCTAAAAACCGCTCGATCTCAAATCGAGTATTTCGTGCTGCATACCGCTAAGTCGAAACTTCAATAAATCATAACTTCCTCATACGAAGTCAGATTTTGGTGTTCTTTTTATGCACGCTCTCGGTTTAAAGAACTGTACGACTTTCATTTAGATCACTAAGGCTAAATATCGCTCTAACGTAAATTTCACTTTTTACGTCATTCAGCGTTTGTCGGTTCTGTCGCGAAACTTCGACAGGTCATAACTTCTTCGTTATAACTCGGATTTCGGCATTCTTTAT